GGCTCTTAGGACTTTGTCTGTTGGGGCTATATGAACTATAATAAGTAGGCTAAAAGTTTAACCTTTGGGGGGGTTCAGAAGTCAGCCAAGCGAAATGGAAGCAAATAATTGGGTCACCCAGCCCGTCGTTGTCAGCAGCATAGTTATTGCCGCCCTCTGCCCCATGCTGCGATGCATCGTAACTTTTGGCTCTGCAGGCCATCTGCCGCAAGGGTGCCCTCAAAGGTCCAGCGGCCGCTGCCGTGCACGTGCCGCCCGACACTCGAACTGCCTGAGGAGCTCTTGCTGATATTCGATCTCTGACCCGCTCACCTTTACATCGCAACTTGCGCAGCTGAAGCCAAATTTGCTTTGATGCATGCTGCTGCAGCATGTCACAGGTGATAAAGACCAACCAATACCAACCAAACAGGGCGCTAGTGTTGGGTCACATACGTTATTGTCGCAAAGTTGTGCCGCCGGTTTGATTTTGTGAGTGTGCTTCATCACACTTTCAATTCACTTTCAATGCTATCCCAACCGAGTTCAAGGGTCACGGTCAGCGGCCTTTGCCGCCGAGAGCCATGTTGCAGCATGCGCGGGCGCCGGATGCCATGCAGGAGAGGCATATGCTCGGACCGCAGACCCTTTATGCAAGGGACCAGGTGCAGCCGACGCCTTGGATGCAGCAGCAGTTCCAAACTCAACAGGCTCGGCAGCACCAGTTGCCACAGCCCTCTCAACCACGGCAGGCGATGCCGATAACCCCACAGGTGCCTCCAGCATTTCCGCAAGCTTGGCAGCCGCAGCAGGGACAGCAGATGCCAGGATACCAAGCGCAGCAGCAACATCCATATGCTGCGTACCATGCCCAGCATCCCCAAGCGCAGCAGGCGAGGGATGAGTACTATTCTCGACCTGGCCAAGCACCCATCAGACTGCCAGCGCTCGACCCTGACCCCGACCCGGCTTATCTCCGCGAGTTTGCTCTAAAGGCTGCCATGATGGACGGAGCCATGACGGGTTTCGGCACAACCGGCGCAGGGTCATCTCCCTCGTGCTCCCCCTATGCATCTCCTTCACACCACGACTGCGATGACACGGCCATGGACCCGCAGCATGAATAGTCAAGAGTGTTTCTATGTTTCAACTTCGTTCCAGTTGCACCAAGTCTTCCGCGGACTCTCCTGATCCATACAGTTAAAGCATATGGCTCTGTCACACATACTCCTGCCCGACATTGGCCAAGGACGAGCGACAGCTTGCCCTAGCCATCCAAAATCCCAGGCCGCGCTCCAGTTTGCTAATCTCAGATTGGTCCAAGCCTGCTCATTGGTGAGCTCTGCGTTGAAAAACTCAGGCATGCTGCGATCAGGGCCCTTTTGAGCATGCAGAGAGGTGAGGCACACATCATCCACAAGACCATCTCCTGTCAGGATCACTGAGCACTTGGCGGCTGGCCTCTTTCGTCGCATGGACAAGAGTTGTCCATGGCCCAGGTATGAGGGCTTTGGAGATCAGCAGGGGGTGCGACGTCAGAGCATCTTTCCGCATGTGGTCCAGGGTATAGCTCCAGGGTTAGGTCCATCACTTGCACTGCTCAGATCTCGGCGGCGTCTGGAAAGCAAGCCTCGCGAAGACCGCTAAGGCGATGGGCGGCTCAGCTATCATGAACTGCTGAGATTCCTTCCCATCCTCTACCAGGACTCGGGCTGGATTGAGAAAGTTTCACGAAGGCAGCTTAAGGGCCGTTGATGTAATTTACCAGTAGATCGCACGAGTAACACACAAAAACCATGACGATGCATTGCCAAAGTCGGCGCCGTTATCAACCGCAGGAGCTGGGCTTGTCCTTAGTAAAAGACACAACGACGCATCAAAAGCTGGTACCTGGGCAGATCTTCATTCTGAGCTTCTGTTCTTGCTGGGTGTTGTGGGGTCTTCACATCTTCGAGTCTTCGGAATTACCCAAAGTGCAGCGCTTCGAGGCAGCAAGGCATTCGCAGTCCTTATGTCAAAGCTGAGGATGTGCAGTGTGGGCTGATCGGGGGTTTCGATTTTTACGGCCGTCTCCGCGAGTTGAGAAGGCTAAGTCCGCTTCAAGTTGTGTAAACATTGAATGCTCCCGCACAGGGGCGTTCCTGTTTCTCGGCGCTGTTCCTCTTTATGTGGGTTGTGTAACGAGATCATGGTTTGAAGGAGGAGGGGAGATGCGTAAATCAAGTCTCGGAAGCAAGACCCTGTCCTTCCTCACCGGCTGTTGTTGCTGAGCTGACAACAATTATTGGGCGCCCCGGCCCCACACCTTACGAGCCCGACCTGTAACGTTTTAAAGGTAGGAGTACAGAAGCTTGACAGGTCACAACAAGTCCGGAAACCAGGCTCAGGGCCCAACATGCGCCCTGAACTCAAACTCAAACAACCTGACCGGGCCCGGCGTCGGCCGGTGTCAGCTGTCCTAGCTCGACTCCGCCCAGTATGATACTCGCCTCCGCACAGCATAGGTGCGCAATCGTATGCGAAAGTTCGATCACGACGGCGACGGATGCCTCGACCAAGCAGAGTTCCTGCAGCTGTACAGGCCTGCCTGACACAGACAAAGATCGAGAGGCCGAGAGAAGTCTTTGCAATTGCTTAAAAGTTACAGTAGGCATCTGAAGCTTTGGCTGAAGGCTCCCTTCCCTCCCTTCAAAACGCCCTTGCTGCAGGTGGACCTTGCATCGGAAGTACGAGGAGTCCCGGAAGAAGTTGGTTTCGGCTCCATGCATGGGCTTTACTGCTTTGGGCCCGGGCTCAGCTGTTACGGTTTGCCTCTTGACATTCCACTTTCAGACAGAGGCATTGAGAATTTTTGGTGAAGGACTGTTCTGGCTGAGCTGGGCATCAAGACATTGTTTTCAGATACCTTAGATAAGATGTCTTGCTTTCTAGTCCTGCCTCTTGCCACACCGGAAAGCTGCAGCTTAGGACTTAAAGCCTCCGAAGTTCGCACGCAGTGGCTTGCTGCGTGGGGCAAAGCCTGGAGCCCCTCGGAGGCTTTAATCTTAGCCCAGCCATCTCATCTAGCTTCATGTCCTCGACTTACATTGCTCAGGTCCCGGCACAGTTTTACCACTTCGGTGCCATGCTAGGCTCGCTGGCATTGCTGCAGTCTGTGCAAGGTACTAGTCGCGAGCCAAACTCCTGTACTGGTTGGATCGCTCACATGGCCTGTGCTAGGACAGGGCAGCTTTGGCATTGTGCACAGATGCTTGGATGTCGAATGAGATGGACGCCCACCTGCCAGTGTTAGGAGTAATTAGAAGGCATCCGGAACGGGTTTGCGTGTGGATGTTAAGCCGCAGTGCTGTGCCGAGTGTAACCGATGCCCGAGGTGTGACTCAGAAGGCCACTGGCATCAAAAGAGCAAGAAGCTTACTCAAAAAATTGTACACACGCATCTCTCCTTCGCCTGTAAATCTTGTCTAGATTGCGTCCTGCTGTACAGGTAATGAAGACGGTAAACAAGATGAAGCTGCAAGAGAGCAACACACCAATCGCTTGCCTGGATCAAGAGATCCAGCTCCTTGCCATGCTGGACCACCCCCGGATCCTCCGACTCTACGCCGCTCGGCGGCATAGCATTCATAGCTAGGCCCGGGGAGGCGCCGAACAGCTCTGAGTCTCCGCTTGGAGGAGTGGTACGCAGACTCCGAGAACGTCTACATTATCACCGATGTCTGTGAGGGAGGGGAGCTTTTCGACCTGGTCAAGGCCGCTGGAGGTTGCAAGCGTCGGCGGGCATTGAGTCTACACGAGTTTATCCAAGATTTGCTGTGCCGCCACTTGGTGCAGGCCAGCATCGATCAGAAGCAGCCCATCCCGGAGGCAGGGGGAGGTGACCAGCTCAAGCCATACAGTATAAGGAATTAGTAGGAGCCGTTCTCCAGCTTTGGAGAGTTTGCACGTTCAGCCTGCCTTGCAATGTGGTTGCCAGTTGGCAATGTTGCCATCTTTTCTTCTTTGCTATGGCAGGAATGGGTGCGCCGCATTTTCCTTCAGGCAACATGCACTTCAGATGCATGTTTTCATTGCTGGCTTGGTGGGCCGTGTGCACTTGGACAGCATGCTACCTACTCGCGTGAGGGGTTTCATGGCAGGCAACGGAGGCCATAAGCTACTGCCATGAGAAGGGTGTGATGCACAAGGAGCCTTTGCTGAAAGCAAGTTCCCTTCCTGCCGCAAGTTCACCCCTTGCGGAAAAACCTACTGCTCCGCAACTCTTGGTGCGTTCGGCAGGATCTGAAGTTCGAGAACCTTCTCCTGCAGCAGCTTGATGATCCAAGTCGATGTTTCTGCTTGCTTTAGCTCAGAAAACTTCAAGACGGTTGGTGGAGAGACGGGGAGTGCCCAGGAAAAGCGTCTCCAGCACATCCCGCGCCTTGGCCAATTGCGGGTCCAAGAGATTTCGGCAATTTGCAATGGCCGGCACTCGAAAGTGGAGAAGCAAGGACTGGAGGACGTAAACATTGTGGTCATTGATGTGGGCCTTGCCGAGCCCCTTGGCAAAAGATCGAAGCAGACATGCCCATGCCCTGAAGTGCATGCTGATCTCGCAATCGGTACGTCGCCTGCAAAGACCTTGATCTGCTGCAGCTTTTGAGTGGCACTTGCCCAGCACTTGGGGCCAGGTTATGGAAGGCCTGTTTCTAAATCTAGCTACTGTTTGATATCTGTCTGGCTGCCTGCCTGCTCGTGCGACCCGTATCAGAAGAAACCATGCTGGCGACCATTGGCCACACGCTTCCGATTTGTCACGTGGCTCAAGCTCGCCGTGCAAAGCACCAGACCTCGTGTCGAAGCCAAACTCCCGTCCGTTTCAAGGTAGACTCAGACAACAATGGGAAACTGCCAGGGCACGCAGACGGTTGAGGCCAAGAATGAGGTGCAGGTTGCCGAGAAGCACCCCTCGATGGCCAAGTTGGACAGTCGCGCTATTCAGAAATTCGGATGGAAGCCGGACATGCCTGACCACCGTGACCTCCACGTTACTTTCGATACGGTGGAGGCACCAAGCTCGATCAAGAAGAAGGCAGAGGGTACCAAGGAGATCGTGGACTTGCGTCCGCAGAACGGCGGCTTCCCCATCTTCAACCAGGGACACTTGGGCAGCTGCACAGCGAATGCCTTGGCGGCTGCCTTCCACTTCACCCTGCACAAGATGACGGTGGAGAACGACAAGGACTTCGCCGACTTCACCCCCAGCCGCCTCTTCATCTACTACAACGAGCGCCTGGTGGAGGGAAGCGTGGGTCAGGATGCCGGTGCCATGATCCGCGACGGCATCAAGGTCATGTCCAAGATGGGCGTGTGTTCCGAGAAGGTTTGGAAGTATGACGACGGCCCCGACTTTTTCAAGCAAGAGCCAGATCGCAAGGCATATGAGGCCGCCCAGAAGTGCCGTGTTATCGGATACGCCCGTGTCGCACAGGACTTGAGCCAGATGAAGATGTGCATCAAGAACGGCTATCCCTTTGTGTTCGGCTTTACAGTCCTCTCCAGCTTCCAGACTGCGGAGGTTGCCAGGATCGAGGGCCTGTCGTTTGCACGTGTTGGTTTGCCTTTGTTTTCTGAGGGGGCAGGGGGGCCAGGGGTGATGCTTATCTGCACAGAACGAACGAGTAAGCATGACCATTCACACGCAGAATGAAGGAACGAACGACAGGAGGAGAACAGGCTAGCAGAGACAGAAAGAATGAACTAAAGAGAGATGCGAAGCACAACAACAAAGGCAACGCCAGAAGATGAGCGGAAACGACGACAAAGGGCAAACGACAGGATGACAAAACCAAACAGCAGAAAAGGACCGGCGAGACAGAAAGAGCGCAAGCGAGGAGACGATGACCACGAAGTCGATGACGACGACTACTACTGCTACTGCTATTGCTACTCCTCCTCTACCTGCTCCTGCTCCTCCTCTTCCTCCTCTTGCTCGTTACTGGTAGCAGTAGTACTACTCCTGCTGCTGCTGCGACAACGACTACCTCTCCTGCTACTCCTCCTCCCCCTCCTCCTCTTACTACTAGTTACTAGCAGTAGTACTACTACTCCTCCTGCTGCTGCCACTACTGAATACTGCTACTGCTGTTGCCACTGCTGCTAACACTGACACCCTATTCACCCTGACAGAAAAAGCACGGTTCACACCACAGGCTGAAACGTTACCTCTGAGCCCCAGGACCGGCAAGATGGTGATGCCCCAGGCAAACGACCAGCAGCTGGGTGGCCATGCCGTGACGGCGGTGGGCTATGACGATTTCAAGGAATGCTTCATTGTCCGCAATTCTTGGGGAGAAGGCTGGGGTGACAAGGGCTACTTCTACATGCCCTACCAATACATCAGCCACCCCATGCTCGCCCAAGATTTCTGGGCCATCAATTGGGTGGAGGGCTTCAAAAACACCAAGGTAGCATCAATCCGGGCCCCACCGGCACCAGACATGAACGTTCAGTCCCGCACCATTCAGAAATTCGGATGGAGGCCGGACATGCCGGACCACCGTGACCTCCATGTTAAGTTCGATATGGTGGAGGCACCAAGCTCGATCAAGAAGAAGGCAGAGGGTACCAAGGAGACCGTGGACTTGCGTCCGCAGAACGGCGGCTTCCCCATTTTCAACCAGGGACACTTGGGCAGCTGCACAGCGAATGCCTTGGCGGCTGCCTTCCACTTCACCCTGCACAAGATGACGGTGGAGAACGACAAGGACTTCGCCGACTTCACCCCCAGCCGCCTCTTCATCTACTACAACGAGCGCCTGGTGGAGGGAAGCGTGGGTCAGGATGCCGGTGCCATGATCCGCGACGGCATCAAGGTCATGTCCAAGGTGGGTGTGTGCCCTGAGACCGTCTGGAAGTATGATGATGGCCCATCCTTCTTCAAGCAGCAGCCGGACAAGCAAGCCTACGAGGTCGCTCACAAGTGCCGTGTGATGGGCTACGCCCGTGTTGCGCAGGACTTGAGCCAGTTCAAGGCATGCCTGAAGAATGGCTACCCTTTTGTCTTCGGCTTTGCCGTCCTGTCCAGCTTCCAGACTGCGGAGGTTGCTCGTACCGGCAAGATGGTGATGCCCCAGCCAACCGACCAGCAGCTGGGTGGCCATGCCGTGTGCGCTGTGGGCTACGACGACTTTATGCAGTGCTTCATCGTCCGCAACTCTTGGGGAGAAGGCTGGGGCGACAAGGGCTACTTCTACATGCCCTACGAGTACATGTGCCACCCCGCGCTTGCCTCCGACTTCTGGGCCATCAACTGGGTGGAGGGCTTCAAGAATGCTGCCGCGAAGCCCGCCCCGAAGTGAAAGATGACATGAAACGTATGTCATGGCTCGTGTTCCTCGTTCTGTCCACGCATCCAGTAACGAGCTGTCCAGCACGGGATGAGGGATCACAGCCCAGCTTAATTCGCAGTATGCAGTATCCTGTGACATCCTATGACTCGACCGTGCTCTTGGCACGTTTTAGTTGTATCACTGATTGACCTTGCTTTTGAAGCGCGAGAGGCGAACGATGTCTTCGTCAACAAATTGGGATGCATGCGTGGGCGCGTGATATCCAGTCCTGTATTGCACCGCCAGCCGATTGACCGCTGAGGCTCTTCGGCCCCTCCCACGGGAAGGACGCCGTGCTGCGTTTTTGATGACAAGCCGAATTTATGGCAACAGGGTTGCGCAATGCTAAGTCAAACGGGTCAACTCAATCAAGTGTATTTGGATCTCGAAGCTCTGAACCATCACCTGGTCTGTCTGTGTTGTGTGTGTGCGCGCGCTGAAGAGCCCGCCTCCCATGACACATCCAAAACACGAGCAATCCCTTACTAAAGGCTTGTTCAATATCTGACCGATACCTGACTTCTGAAGCATCACACTTCGAAAGCCAGAGTCCCTGATTCTGCTTATGATTACACTAGTTACACCTCTGCTTGTGTCACCAACTTGACATTCCTGCAGTGCTAGATGTATGAAGATTCTTGAGCCGTCCTAGCCGGGAGAGTCCAGGGTGCCGGCAAGCTTCAAAGTGCACTGAAAGGACCTTATGTGAGGGGATTTCATGACAGGAAACATGGCCAGGCCAGGCGCACAGCCCAGAGAAGCCCGGCCTCGCAGGGCATGCGGTCCAGCGCTCGCAGCGGAACCCTGACGACCATCGCCCCCGAGGTCCTCCAAGGTGCCAGCTTGAACACAGCAAGAGTTTGAGAATGTCCAGAAAGGAAGCTGTGAAAGGTTTCTGCAGGATGGTTTTCTAAAGTCTGGAGGACCGGGGCCACTTTTCGGAGTTCCCTGTCGAACGTGCTGTGCAGGAATCATCTGCATTCAACCGGCTCAGGCATTTAGGTTTTTAGTTTTTGGGCTACAGGCCTAAGAGTTTCGGAGGGAAGAGACACAGACGCACACTCGAACTCCAGGCGTAAAGACAACACGGGCTTTTGTACATGCTTTCGGGCGCAGTTATCTCGGTTTGGAGACGCATGATCTTCTTAGAAGCTCAGTGAAGCGAGTTGTTTGTCTTCACGAAGCGTTCCGTTTCCTGTGATCATAATTTAAATGCAACTTTTCGCGGACTAAAGGGGCAGGATGTTGAATAGGTTGTCAGGGACGCACCCCTGGGTTGGCATTCCAGGTAACGGAGGTACTAATTCGGCTCAACTACTACCTTACTACCCGTCCTGCCGTTTCAAGGTGACTTCTGCTACAAGTGTGACGTTTGGAGCTTGGGCTGCATGCTCTTTGCTGCCACTTGGCTGGGGAAGTGCCGACACTCTCGATCTGGGTTGCTAGCAGACGTCCCACAATAGCTTTTTGATGTTGGAGTTTGACAGTGTCACTAAGCAGAGGTGTTTAACCCGCAGCCATCATACATACCTGGCCCAGTATCTTGGCTGCAGCAGTATTTCATTTGGCCTTGAGGGTGATGGTGAGAGGGGCGGGTTTTCTTTATTGATGACAGGGGAATCAGGGCCACTGCAAAGTATCACTTGGCGAAGGACTCGTTGCAAATTAAGCCGAAGCGGGCCGCCCCTGGGCTATGCTCCGAGGATGGCAATCCGATACTTTGCCCTTATCCCTTCCATCCGCAGCCGACTGAGAGCCTCGGTGCAAGCGCAGGTCCTTCAAGCAAGCTTCGCTTCGTGAAACCTTGCTTTTGAGTAGGGGGCGCATGGCTCATAAGTTGATAAGTCTTTATAATTTTGGCCCGAACTGAAAGAATTCCATAAGGCATGCACGGAATGCTCAATGCACACTTCGAGGCGCTTGCCGACGTGGGGATTTGTAGGAGCCCCGGGCACGTTTCATTGGCATGAAGCCCGACATGGCTCGCCCACTGAAACATGCAACACGCCGACGCCCATGCTTCTCCCGGCCGCTATCGTTTCACGGTGGCAGATACCGAGGAGGGACCGGCTGGGCTTGGACGTGGCTTAGCTGGCAGTCTGAGTCTTTCTGCATCTTTCTGCACTTCCTGGTTCCGTGAGTTGACCTCATCTCACCCCAAAATTTAGATGCACCCGGACTACACATGCTACCAGCACCTGAGCTGGCCGCGCGTGCGAGCGAAATATGTGCTTGATGATCCATGAACGGTGGTGACAGGTGCTTATGCAGCAGCAGCGAAAGGGTCCTGATCTGCGGCGTTTGACTGCCGGCCACGCTCTCAAGGACCTAGTGGGTAGAATGCTGCTTGGCCTTGTTCTGTGAATGACGGGTGCCGGGTGACGGCCGTAGACACATATAGCCAGGCTGGAGCCACAGTCGCGCATAATCTCAGGCATGAGCTGCACTGCGGATTACAGGTTATGAATTCGTCATGCGTAGGGTCCAGTAGGGTTATTGGCAAAGATCAGCACCTACAGCCGCTGCTATACATGTCGCAGTTACACACCCCTGATCTTCCAAGAGGCTTCTCGGAGTCTTGCAGCCGAGAACGTCTTTGGTCAATTCTGGAACTGAGAGAGATGCTGTTGCGCTGAGTTGTTTAAAGTTTAAAGGCTTGATTGCTGCGGCTGAGGCAGTGGAGTGAGTTGCTCACCAACGCAGACGTAACGATTAACCCCTCAATACTTTCAGCTTTCATGGAGACTCCAGAAACTCCAGGCTCTGCTTTGAGGAGGAGCAGCGGCCGTCCGCCAAGGCCCTGGCTCGGGACGTTGTGACAGGGATAGGATCGGAGAGGCAGCAGGGCGGAGCACAGAAAGGAGGAAGATTCCAGGGTACGTTAGGGCTTAGGGCACTGCTCAAAGCCATGGCTTGGTCGATGTTTGCTTCATGCGCCCGAACGATTCCCAATGCCTCCAAACACTTCAGCATGTACAGAGGCTTCCTGTGGAAAGGGCGAACGTGCCTGTGTTTCGCCTGCGTGTATGCTCCAACTTCGGGTGGAGGAATGCTTGCGCTCGTCCTGGCTGGGATCGGGAGGCAGCATCCGTTCTGAGTTCCATGACCGGTCGGGTTGCATGTCAGCGATTGTCGCAGCAATTAAACAGGGTTTGCCTGTCATGAGTCATCGCATGTAAGCACGGCAGTGTAGTGGCCTACAGGCAACACGCCGCTCGAGAACCAGGCCCAGTCGAAGCAGGCCGAACAGACACGGGCAGCTTGTTGTGACGCAGCACCAAGCAGCCTCAATTGCCTGATGTCTGGCAGGAGAGTCTGAAGATCATGATCTCGCCAGTCATCGAGCCACAGCTCGCAGGAATAGCATGCATACCACGTGGAACAGGCATGGTAAGATACGTGCATGCGATTCTTGAGCCCAGCTGAGCCCAGGACCACGACCGGGAGCATAGGACATGGTGGCGGGCTGTGGCCGTCCAGGCGGCAATTTGTTTGCCGACGATGTTGACGAAGCTACTAAAATGCATGCATCCCCCTGAAATGACAGGGGATGAAGCCGCAGCAGCCGCGAAGAAACAAGTGTGTTGGTCCTGAGAAGGCCGCCGCGCAGCTACCAGGTGGCGTCCTCGAGTCTTTGGCGAAGCTGTTCCGGGAGGCCTGTCGATGTCAAAGAAAGTTCAGCTGTGGACGGAGCATGTCATGTGGGCTTCATCAGCTTTTTTAGAAAGAAGTCGGCAGGTTTGAGCAAGTTCTATCATTTTCACCGGTTTACCCTTTAGAGACTCATTTGAAGTGGCTGCGTGAACTCGTAGACTTGTTCATGTTGCGAATTTGATCTTTGACTTTTCTGGCGAAGGCGCACGAGGGCCAAACGGATGGAGCCATCGAGAAGCACGCCCTTGTACAGATGCTCCGGAGACTGAAGGCTTGCATCTTGCGAACATTTTGCTGGAGCTTTTGCAGACTGACACGACGTTGTCTATGCTAGGTCATGCTGCCTTCCATTCCCTGATAAACAAACATACGAGGATCAAGAAATCAAGCGCCATGGGATCAGCAAGAAATTGCAAAAAGGATAAGCTCAAACAACAACCCCCGGTTCTCATGGCACATGTCAAACCGTCTCTTCTCAGCAAGGCGCCAGACACCGCAAACATCAGTTCGCGGTGCTGGTGCAAGAGACCAAAGCATTATTTTCATCCTTTCCGCTCTCCCTCACACTCTTTTTCCCACGTCTGCCGGAATGGAGATTTGCCTGAGGTTTTCATATTTACCAGCACTATTTGTTTCTTGACTCGTACGCCGAAGTCAGCGACGGTGTCTAGGAATCTTGCTTGCCGTGTCATTGGCAAGGTTAGCCCTGAGCTCGCCCAGAGTGCTGCAGACATGGCAGACTTTGATGGCGATGCTGGGGTGCAATGATGGAAACTCTTGTTGTTACATTCCGCATGACATTTCAATGCGAGGTCGCGTAGAACTCAGAATTACTATGCTCTGTGTAGCTGCTCGGGTTTGTTGGACCAAGTTGCTCCCAGGATGGTCTCATCGAGTTCAGCGAGTTCGTTGCTACCTGCTTGCCCTCCGCACGTGAGCTGTTTGCAGTGTCCTTGTACCTCGGACGATGTGGGCGATATGGCTGGAGTCAGAGAGACAGTTGATTGTGTCGTGCGTTTGGGTGCAATTGACTGCACAAAGCTGCCACAGCCTGCTGTGAGTCGCCATCCGCTTAGGCAGATGGCATTCCACAGCTTTGACACAAATTCCGACGGTACGCTCGATCGAGACTTGGCTGAGCTGTCGGAGTTCGCCTGAGACTGCTTGTGGCGCATCGCGGTGAAGGATGCAGCGGTTGTTGGCGGTGCTGCGTTGCCCTTTCGAACCGCAAGACTTGCGAAGCCTTTGCTGGGATAGCCTTTGGAATGAGTGTGACGAAGTCCAGGAACCGAAATCGCGCAGCTCCTCCAGAGCGGGCAGATCGAGGAAAACCATCTGCCCAAGACAAAGACTGTGCAGGCGGGTGTGCGCATGCACGGAGGTTGTAATCATCAATTCTGCCTCATCATGCGCCGGATGTTGAGATGATCAATCGTTGCACCCTGATTGGCTTCGGGGGTCATGCAGGTGATCCTGAGCATGCCAAAAAAGCCCCAGCCGACTGGGCAGGAGATGGTGGAAGAGTTGGACCTCGATCATAACGGCGTGATCTCGTTCAGCGAGTTCCAGCACTACTTCATGAACGCTGCTTGCATCTGCAGCGATCTTTTGCTCCCGTCGAGGCTGATTTCATCGGGAGATGTTCCCTCGCCGGGCACAATGCTGCCTTCCATGTTATGACTCGACTTTCCCGAGATGCCCCTCTAAGGTTGATGCCGGACATGCTTGATGCCCAGCAGCAGCAGCAGCAGCAAGATTGTGGCTTCGGCCCAGGGCAGTGCGATTCTTCAGCATAGCTGTTCCAGTTAAACTCAATTTTAAAGGCACATCTGCAAGAGTCCGTCTCAGATTTGAACTTGTAGCACATGAGCATGTGGAGCCGGCTAAGCTGCCCTACTGCTCGTCCACCGAAATGTGAATCATGAAAAATGCTAGCGTAGCTTCCCTGAGAAGATCCGATCAGCTGTGCTTCCACCTAGGCCTCGGCGTACTTTGAGCAATGTGAGGGCTCCTTGTGCACACGCGAAGGGGAAGCTGAAAGTACAGCTGCGTTGGAAATTTCCAGGGGCCTCTTTTAGTAGTCGGCAGATCCATCGACCCAGGACTGCGGAGGAATCCTGCCGTGAGCCATGCAGATAAGAACAAGGGGGACCATGCACATTCCAGCTTACCATCAGGGAACCGAACCGAAGACTTCTGAAGAGCTCCTCCTTGCTGTGTCATGGCTTAAACTTGACCGAAAAGACCCTTGTTTGTTGGCCCTTCATCTGGTGCGATCGCCCCCTTCAAGTCAGCTATTCCGAGGTATCGCAATTCGCGGCTGACGATGCTCTTGAGAGACGCTTGAGCTGGAGTAGTTATGTTGTTGAGTTTCTGGAGTCTGGCCGATGAAGCTTGAGAAGACTTCGTGCAAGCGAGCTGAGGACTCTCTTGGCGGAGACTCGAAGACGCTGATGTCCTGCCCTCGGTAGTTTCGTCTCAGAGGCGGAAAGATTTGGTGCTGCAAGCTGCGGGTTCACGGCCTCCATAGTATTTCTGGTTGTTCACTGCAAGGCCTGTCCCCGAATAACGTTTCCTGCTCAGACCAACAACAACCACCTGCACTTGCTTGCACGAGCTGCAGCCGGGGGCAGCGCATGTATAAAAGCATGGTTGTATGGTGATTGTGTAGAAACAGTCATGAATCCGCCTGTTGTTGGCAGGTTTGTGAATGTGTCGCCACTGCAGGACCCAGCCGCACATGTGTCAATCACTGTGGATGTGTCAAAAATGTGGCTTTTGTTCACCAGCCACGTGGGGCAGCCCCATGCTCCCTGCAGTCGTTGCCGTCATGCCATTCCCGGCCAGCTTTGTTAGCACCCCGTGGTGTTTGAAGGACTTCTGCTTAGTTTCTTCACCAAGTCCGACGGACTGATTTCCGTCTTTCGACAGTAACGAATAGGAATACTGAATATACTACATGTAATATATACTGCCTCTCACATTGGATGCTCGGTTTGTTTTGGGGGATCTTTTCGGAAGGGTGGCGGCTCGTTCGCGAAGGGTTGACGCGTCAAGCTCTTTCGTTGTGCAGTGCTGGACAAGACCGGACCCCCTCCCTTCCTGCGAGTCAGAATGAGCCTTGTCATGAGCTGATGTGATTGAAAGTGTTCCAGGAGCATTTGGGCGAAACCCTCTCGTCCTTGCGGTTTGCATCAAAGGCGCTGCAAAGACGGCTTGATATATTCTCTGGAGTCTAGAGCTGCACCATGTGCGCATAATGCTGATCTTGGTTTCAGCTCACATCACGTGTTATCGTGTATACTGTAGCTGTCGCACAATGGTCTTCCGCTCCGGCCCGCAGTGCCTTTAGTAGGTCCACGCCTGCAGTGTGGGCGTGGCCAAACGTCACGTTTCAGAGATCACGGAGGCAAGGCGCTGCGGAATGTGTCGCGTGACAGACAAGCAGGGAGTGTTGTGAAGTCCCGTGCCGACCTGTGACGAGCGCTTCGGCATAGATTATTAAGGATATCAGTCGTGCAAAACTTCAAAGGGTTTTTCGCATCTGCTTCACATGCCGTCGGACGGGCCAGTGCCGCTGCCTCTGAGCACAGAGCGAAGCACCAATCCGTGAGAGTTCCTGCAATGGGGGCACCTCCCTTAAACACGCCTCACCTCCTTGCACCTTGTGCCATGCTGTACTGCATCCTGACAGGTGAGAAGCTGAGGTGTCTGTGTCTGACCGAGCCATGCCCAAAGCCCATAATTCATGAGACCGGGAGACATGGCCCGGCCTCCAAGCATGGAGCCGCTGCCTGACGGGTTCGATTTAGACTGGCTAGACTGACTAGACTCTAGACTCCTGCTGACTAGAGGTGGTTCTGGTGTCTTCTGTGACAACCACGAGTTTCATCGCAATTTGGCAGGTTTTTGCTAGCTGCAGCGGCTCAGACTGTTGTCGTTTTTTGTTGGGAAACTCGCGGCGAAGAGCGGCATCCACGTGTTCGACCAAAACATGCTCGAATGCACTCGAGGTTCCCGTGCAATTCGCAGTTGCGGTTTTGAATTTGATCGCCTTTGTCCAGTGCAGTGCGCAGCATATTTCCGTATGACGTGAAAGGCCAGTCAGTAGGCATACTTTCTCGAAGGTGAGGTCAAGGCTCGTGAATGGTTCGATGCTTCAAGTTTTCGTTCCTTGATCGTGATGCTGGTGTGACTTATTAATGCAGTCGCCCGTATGATTGCTTGTGGAGAAAAGCAGCGTATGCACCTTCGGCCGGGAACCCTGAACGCTACGCTTAACCCTACATTTTGCGGGCCCTGCATTGCATTGTCTTGCATTAGCCCATAAGGGTCGAACGATGAGTAACGGCATCCCCATATGCTCCCGAATACATTTATAATATCATACACCCCAAGGCACTGTTCGAATTATGAAGGCCCCAAAATTGGACAGCAGACTCCTTGAATGAGCGTCCTTGTTGGATCCATGCTCTGTTCTGGTCCAAACAACACCAAGCGCAAGGCATTTGGGCAGATGACAGCGGCTCAGGGCAGTTCCTTCAGTTGGAGCACGATCTGGAGGTTCGGTGGACGACTGCCGCTTTGTGCTTGGTAATTATGGCTGGATCTCTTGCCGATGTCTTACTCATGAGCTTAATTAGTCCGCCTTCTGAGTTGGGCGTTCAGTTACACGTCAGAATTCTGCTGCCAGGTGACGCTCCATTGTGCGGCCCTAAAGGGGATGTTCTTTGGGGCTTGAACCTACCGCAACCACATCGCAAAAGGTGCACGAACACGTTTCGCCACTGAATTAAGGCTCCGGCCTGTGCAAGAGCTTCCAGGCGCACTTTCACATGGAAGCCGCGCTCTTTGTAGCAAGACAGGAAACAGCTTCAGTGCCGCGTGCACCCAATTTGGGTTAGGTCTTTTTGTGGCTTTGCCACGGTGGAGTCCAGGTGCCGGCGTTTTCTGGCGACTTGCCGCTGAGTCAGCAGAAGGCCC